TTTACTAATGGGAAAAAATAAATAATTGAGTTGAAGCTATGTTTTAGGTTTATGAATTAAATGTTATTTAAAAAAAAAAAACTGCCAGGTAACTGCTCATTTACTTTACATCAAGTTGAGATCCTAATATATATATACATCTCAACTTTATAATTATTTTATAATTCAAGATTGGAGTTAAATACTTCTAATTCACTTGAATTACCATAGTAATCAGACAATTAGGAACCTTATGTTTTCTTACAAAGGACATGCTTAACATTTTTTGACATTACTGCTAAACTCAGATTAAGGACCACCCCCCCCCAAATGAATATTCTACTCTAAAAGTTAAGTGCTTGAAAGTTGGCAGCAAACACACTTGAACATTTCTACCAGAGAGTAGGTACAAATAAAGAACTACTGCCTACACATTTAATAGAAATCAACATGAACCAGTTAACAAAGTTGTATCTGTTTCACACTTTCAAAATGGGCAGTAATGAGGTTCCCTGTGTTTTGATAAAAATTTACTTTAAATTCTGTGCCCAGATTACATATTTAATGTTAAAGCTAAGGTGTCATATACCTCATTTAAATTTCTGAGAAAGTAAATCATGATTGGTTAAGTTTATCATAGCTATCACAAACATCACTAGAAATAAAAGAACCTCAGAAGTAGAATAAAGGAGTATATAAAGAGTTACCAAAAGAACTAGTTGGACAGTAAGTAGATAAATGGATCCAAGAAAACAAACTTGCAGTGTTCTTAAGAGGAAAAAATAAATGCATGTCTGTCCACATCAACAGTATACTCAAGATGATGGCAGTTCCTTTTAAAGGATGGTAGTCCCTAGGTTTGAGACTTGTCTTCAGTATATAGTGCTGGATAGGCACTTTATGTGAGAACATAGAAATGATAGTGATTAGAAAAAGTGGAAAGTTACTAGCTACAAATTACTATCAATAACTTAATTTGTATTTTTGGCCAGACTCAGACTCCCAAGGGAGGAGTATGTATTTTTATGAAACTTTAAAAATTCTCAAAATGCCTCATTTTTAAAATTTAACATTTTTAAATTAAGTATTTTGAACAGAATGTCTGCTCAGTGAAGCATCACAGACTGATTTGATTGCAAGAGAGATCTTTGCTGACCTGTCCAATAGTGATGTGTATCAGGAAAGCTGTGGTATCTGGTTCTTTACCAACTAGAATTTTTGAACAACCAGTGCAATCTTGACTCAACTAGACAACTACACCAATCACACAACAGAATACTGGATCACAATGCTGTTTTTAAGAGTGGTAAGATAGAAGGGATGGGCAGTCAAAACAGGAATTCCACATGGGTCAACAGGAATTACCTCTGCCAGTAATTCTAATATTCACTCTCCCACTATGCTGCATAAAAGCTTTTCCTGTATTACATCATACGGAGGAAAGCAAAGCAAGTAACTAGGTGTAGTAAGTTACCCTGCATAGTGCCTCTTGGTACTAAGGAAATGCATGGGTATTATTCCCATCAGTAAAGCACCTCAAGAGAGGACTGAGAAAGTGAAATATAAAGGAGTTGTTTGTGCTACCCTAAAGTTATCAACTACAAAAAGTTAAAAACACTTCTTCCTTCCCACACATCACACTTAAAATAGCAAAATGGTTTTTGTAGAACAACTTTTATACATATAAATAACATGGAAAACTTAAGATCCATAAAGTGACTTTGCTAATGCAAATTATGGGTGAAGTTTGGATTAACTAAATGTGAACGGCAGACTAAAACAGTAGTTTACAATACACTAAAGCCAGCCACCTATAAATGCATCTTCAAAGCAAAGCTGTCAGCTGGAACAACCTCACAGAATCATTAAGACAACAGAAAATGAAGAAGTAAATGTTCTATATTCCAAATAGTTCAGTAATATTTCTTCAAGCTTCACAGATTGAGTTTAAATTAATTTATGGTTTAAAAACAAGCAATTACAGAAAAATGTTAATAATTTCACTGTTCTATATACTAATTTAGAGGTCATGAGGATTAATTGTTAATGCAAGGCACTTTTAGTTTGGGGGGGGACTTCATTTTGAAATAAAATAGTGCTACATTGGTTTATTACAGTCTACTTCGAACCATTTTGGACAAAGGTAAAAATGGCTAAGCAACTCTGAAAAGAACAAAATAAAGCATTTGGCTTAAATAAAGAATAAACAAAAGGAAAAGCCTCTGGGGAATTCTAACACTAACACTACCTTTAAAGTAAAACATCTTTCTTTGATCATTAAAACTTTTTCTCCTTTAGAATAAATTAGGAAGGCTATTGGAAAGGAAGCATTAATTAAATTAGAAAAATAAGGGTAGTTGGCTAGTCATGATTTAAGAATAAGGAACTAAAAGTTTTTTTTAAAAAGGTGATTAAGTTATTGAATTGTACTAAAAATGGGGCCAAGTTCTACATTTTGTTAATGTTTCTGTAAGAGGCTCCATCATAAAACTGAACTGTAAAATTCTGTTTAAAATGTAACACATAGAACACAAAATGAATTTTTAGCAAAACCTCATGAAATTTTTTTGTTATAAATTACCCCCAAATTTATAAACAAATCCCCCTAACTTGCATTTTGTTTAAAGTAATAACTTTATATCATACAAATAAATTTCAAGTATGAAAAGTGCATTATTGCAATAATACCTCTTTGCAAGTCCAAAATTCTGGTTTGTAATAAAATTGTAAATTTTTTTAAAAAGTAAAACCATCAATGCCATCTACTGCAAAAGTCCAACATCTTCTAAAATGTTGCCCAACAAGTTGCAGAAACATGTCTGGAAGCAACATATAACTGAAAAGAAACTATTTGTGTTTTTACCATTTTATATTATTATCTCTAGGATTTTCTCCTTTCCAAATAGAATTCAGATCCTATGTAATGTTCCTCATTGGTCAGCCATTCTGTGCAGTTGCCACTTGCATGCTTCCAAAATCATCATCTTCTTCATGTGTTCTCTTCAAACTACCTAAATGTTATTGAACGAATAGAAAAATGAAAACCTACATAAATCATATTACAGACAATAAAAATTTGTCCAATTATGTATGCACTATAAGAATTTCATGATTGAATCAGCAGCAACCTTTAGTAAATTCTTTGTTGTAAATGCCAAAATGACATATATTCCATCCCGAGTAAATAATGTCTTAGTATTACATATAATAAACACTCGTTTTCAAAATAGTGTGATGATAAAACTTTTAATGAGTTGGGGGCTGGAGAGATGGCTCAGCGGCTAAGAGCACTAACTGCTCTTGCAGAGGACCCAAGTTGCATTCCCAGCACTGACATGGAGGCTAACAATCATTAGTAACTCCAGTTCCAGGGTAATCCAACGCCCTCTTCTGACCATAGGCATTGCACAACACTGGTGCACTTATACACATGCAGGCAATACACCAATATACATAAAATTTAAAAATATTAAAATGAATAAACTTTTAATGAGCTGATGGTGTATTGTTTGACTAACAACCTAGTGCTTTTTAGGCAACATAAAAATGTGGTTCAGGACATAAAATTTAATAAATGAATTGTATTTATATGGTTTTTGATATATTTTGTTTTCCCGACTGCTATTACGAAGAGGAGCTGAAAACAAAAACCCCTTCTTGAAAGGGTCTCCCTATAGCCCCAGCTGGCCTAGAACTTGCAATGTAGACCAGGCTGGCCTCAAACTCACAGAGATCCACCAGCCTCTACCTCTAGAGTGCTGGGATTAAAGGCGTGTGCCACCTGCCTGACTAAGCTGCAGTTTTATCTACAAGTTGTAAAGTTGGGAGCCAGGAAAGCATGTAGCAGATAAGAGATTTTATTTACTCTACACAAATATCCTACAGAAAATCAGAAATATTCAGAATTATCTCTAAATGTCCCATAGTTACTTAGGTTCAGGAAATCTGAGTCTTAAAGGAGGGGAACCTTAAGGAACAGTTAAACTGACAGTCTGCTATGTATTTTCCCTAATGATATGGCTGTGAGTCCAGGCCCATAGGGTTGTACTAAGTCACAGTTAATTTAGATGGCAGATTCAAACATGGAACTATTGTTTCACTGTAAGATTAGTAAAGATACAACTTTATCAATAAAGTTGAAAGAAAACATCCTCACCTTAAGGCCAATACAGATGGCACCTGAAGTATGTTTAAGAATAGGAAGGATGAAGGCGGGAGGCGGGTGAGGGTGGGTCGGAGGGAAGGTGGGGGAGGAATATGGACCCCGAGTGTTTAAAAAAAAAAAAAATGAAGATGAAGAACTAGAGAGATAGCTCAAAGGTTAAGAGTACTGGCTGCTCTTGCAGAGAACCAGGATTTGATTCCCAGTACCCACATGGTAGCTAACAATGTCCATAACTCCAGTTTTCAGGAATAGGGAGAGTGAACATGGTGCATTTTGGGTGAGAAAAATGGATGCTGAAACACCATCAGTTTTCTGGAGTAGATATGAAAAGGAACAATGTGACACAAATTGAAAATACCTATGATAATCTTTACTACCTATGGCTATAAAATGAGAATCGCTTGAGACACTGATTTTGGACATTCCAGTTTGCAATTTTGTAGGAATGAAGTCAGTGAAGTCTTTGGCAAAACAAAATGTGATTACAAGCATCTTGAAAAAAGTGACCAAAATGTATAGAAAAGACCAAGAAGCTGGGCGTGGGGCGGATCCCTGTGAGTTCAAGGCCAGTCTGGTCTACATAGTGAATTCCAGGAGAGCTGAGGCTACAGGGAGACCCTGTCTCAAAAAGACCCCCCAAGAAAGTCTGGATAGGAGGCTCATCTAGACCTAGCTAGCCTACATTTAGGGGTTCTATTCAAAAGAGAAGGAATTTTAAAGATGCTGGGAAACAAAATGCTACAGTATTTAGAAGAGATTAGGGTGAGATGGCAAAGGAAAGAAAAGAGTTGAGGATAATTAGGAAGTTGAGCCCAAGAGATGAATGTCTAGTCTTATCACTTTAGGTAGTATAGAACAGTGGTGACTTCTGGGCTGTGCTTAAATGCCAGGTCAACACCATGCATGTACCCTGTTCTTGAAAGAACTATTAACAAAGGCAGTAAGGTTTTGAAAAAGGAAGATAAAAATTTAAGAGTTGGCTTAGACTGCTAACTTTGAAAATGAGTGGATTTAGAGAATCATAGTAGTGGAGAGATCAAAATAGTAGTAGTGAGAAAAACTGAGGTAGCATCATATTAGTCATGTAGTTGAAAGTTAACTCTTTTGTTTTCTGTTTGTTTTGATTTTTGGTTTTGTTTTTTTGAGACAGGTTCTCCCTGTAGCCCCAGCTGGCCTAGAACTCACTATGTACACCAGGCTGACCTCAAACTCACAGAGATTGGCCTGCCTCTGCGTGAGGCATGCTCGGATTAAAGGCATGCCTGGCTCTCTCTCTCTCTTTTTGGTTCTGATGGTCTCGATGTGTAGTCCAGACTGGCTTTCTTGAACTCATGATTCTTCCACCTCTATCACTCAGTGCTGGAATTATAGACATGTGCCACCTCCAGCAACTTTTATTTTTAATATCAACCAAGTTATTCAAACTACTCTTTAATCTTTACAGTATTTGTACTACTAATACACTTAAAATTAAACCAAGTAAGCTGGGCACTTGGGAGGTGGAGGCAGACGGCTCTCTGAATTCCAGGCCAGCCTGGTCTACATAGTGAGTACCATGCCAGCTGGGGCTACAGGAAGACCCTGTCTCAAAAAGACAAAAAAAAAAAAAAAGTAATAATAATCCAAGTAGACATATGATCTTCCAACTGGCATTTTTATTGACTAAACACTGTGGTATGTACATGTTAGAGGCATATTGTGTGTTCAGACATAAAACTAATTCTTTTGAAATTATTTTAGTTTTCTGAAAGTTCCTAAACAATTTAAACTGTTCAGTGTAACTTAGGAATAATGGATGCTTTTCCACTTTTTTTCTCCCTCTATTACCTTTCACTTCAGTTTTCCAAAAGAAGAAAAACTCTTTACCTGTGGTGCCAGAATGAACAGATAAGGACCGTTCTATCTGGAGTGGTGACATCATCTGTATTGTTAATTTTGCTAAGTAGATGGCTTCATATTCCTACAAAAAGAGTTTAATTAACTCAGATATACATTTGTATTCTTGGATACACAAAACAGTGATTAATGTGTACATTATTGGTATTTTAGTTAGTAGTCAAAGGGCTGGTACCATACTGTGGCAAAAGAAATAAAAAGGTTTAAAATTCCTATCTAATATTCCCTGTTACTCATCACTATCAATCAAGTCATGCCAATAGTCAGGATGTGTCCTCTGCCACTGGAGACATTAACTATAATGGTCTAATTCTGTTAAAACAGTCTCAGAATGGTTCTAAGAAAATAATGAAATTAGTGCTTTAGTGTTCTGTCTTTGAAATTCTTTTGTTGTTTTAGAGATATAGTCTCAAGGACCCCAGGCTGGCCTCAAGCTTCCTATTTAAGCAATGACTGGCTTTGAACTTCTGAACTTACTGACATTACAAGTGTACAACACCATTTCAAGCAAATGCTAGTATGTCAAATACTTTATTTTAATGGTATCAGGAACTGAGGGTTTGTCCATGCTAGGAAAGCAATCTACTACTAGCTACATTTTTATTTATACTCATTCTTCCAGTGATACCACTTTTAATAACATCTATATACTTTCAGTCCTTACAATATAGGATTCTGTTCCCTGAACTCCACATGTAAGTATCTGCCTGTTTCCTGACCATTCTCTTAAGCTTGATACGATCAAACGCTTGGGACCTACAGGTGTAGCTCTGTAGTAGAGCACTTGCCTACCATAGGCAAGGTCATCAGTTTAATGCCCTGTATCGGAAAACCAAAATAAAAAATCCCTCGATTTCACTTGTTGTAATCCATCTCATATTTTCTTCCTTATCAGTAAGGGCTGACTCATCTTGTTCTGGCAAAAGATTCATATTCATCATTTCCTCTCTTTTTAAAAAATATTTTATTTTTTAAGGGCTGGGTGTGGTAGCGCATGCCTTTAATCCCAGCACTTGGGAGGCAGAGACAGGCGGATCTCAATGAGTTCAAGGCCAGCATGGTCTACATAGTGAGTTCCAGGACAGCTGGGGCTAGAGGGAGACCCTGTCTCAAAAAGACCAAAAAAATTTTTATTTTTATTTTATGTGTATGAGTGTATTGCCTGCATGTATGTGAGTGCATCCATATCGTGCAATGCTGTGGAGGTCAGAAGAGGACTTCGGATTCCCCTGGAACTGGAGTTAAGGACAGTTCGTAGCCGCCATGTGGGTGTTGGGAATCGAGCCTGGGTCCTCTGCAAGAGCAGTCAGTGCTCTTAACTGCTCAGCCATCTCTCCAGCCCCATATTTCCTCTCTTTTAACATCTATATCCAGTCTAGCATCAAGTCTGGTCAGCTAGCTACACCTTCAAAAAACCCCAGCACCCAATCTCTCACCTTTTCCCAATCTTTTTACATTTTATTTATTATTGTATGTGGGGGGCATGCATAGGGGTCAGAAAACACCTTTGTGAAGTCTTTTCTCTCCTTTTACCTCCACAAGGGTTCCAGAGATCAAACTCAGGTCCTTGATCTTGTATTGTCAGACAGCAAGTCCATTTACCTGCCATTTGACTGGTGATATATAGTCTTTACTGGTCTACTTGCTTCTGGCAGTTGCCCTCAATTTTCCCTAGTCTATACTGAATGACCTTATATGAAATCACTCCTCCACTTACAAGTTAAAGACCTTATTCACAATGGCCTATATAAAGGACCTTGCATGTGGCCCTTTATCTCTGATCTCATCCTCTACTATCCCATTTCCTTTGTTCAGACACACTGCCCTCACAATTTTTAAAACATGCTATGTCTACTTAAAAGCACTTGCACTTACTATTGTCTTTACCTAGAAGTGCTTTCTCCAAAATATTTCAACAATTTCTTCAGGTCCTTGCCCACATACCACTTCTAAGTTTTTTTCTGATCATTCTTTAAAAATTTAAATGCTTGCCAGGCGTGGTGGCACACGCCTTTAATCTCAGCACTCGGGAGGGAGAGGCAGGAGGAGCCTTGTGAGTTCAAGGACAGCCTGGTCTACATAGTGAGTTCAGGTCAGCTGAGACTACAGGGAGACCCTGTCTCAAAAAGACAAAAAAATTAATTAATTAATTAATTAAATTCTTGTCCCATCCTCCTTTTCTTAAACACTACCAATGTTATCTCAGTTCTACTAGGGTAAGCTCTGAAGTCAAGAGGCTTCTTGTTCTCTGCTTTACTGCCAATGCCTAGGATTGTGCCAAACTAACATTTCAAATGTAGCACAGAGCCAGGCACAATGGTGGATACCTCTAGTCCCAGCTATTTGGGAGGCTGAGGCAGGACTGCTTCAATCTAAGAATTGGGGGACTGCTTGGGCAACACAGCTAGACCCCATAAAACCTACAGCTTGGGACATGGAAGACAAATTTGAGGAAAAATTAAGCAAAAGGAGAGAAAAAAGAATAAAGTGGAAAATAATTAAGGAGAAAATGACAGCTATGATAAAGTCTATCTTTAAAAGAGGAATACCAACAAAATGAAGCAAAATACCAACAACAAAAAAGCCAAATGCATAAAGAAAACTTGCTGTAAAAAAGGAAAGGCAGGAATCTGCAAATGGCAAGGGCACATCATGCTTCAGAAAATTCTGGTTAATAACCAGCAAGATACATTTTTTTAAACTGCCAGTGACTGAACCTAGAGTTTTAAATAAGCTAGGCTACTATTGTGCCACTGATTTACATCACCAACCTCAATACATATCGATATTATTTGTGAGTATACATGTGGAGACCAGAAGTCAACTTCATGTGCTGTTTGTCAGCAACCATCCACCCCATTTTTAAATTATTATGATTACATTTATTTATTGGAGGGTTGCTTGTACCATGTCTTCTGCACTCGTGTGTGTGTGCACGTGTAGATCAGATAACTTGTGTAAATTACCACCATGTGGGTTCAGAGGATAAACCCAAGTCATCAGGCCTGGTGGCAAGAAGTTTTACCTCTTGAGCCATCTCATTGGAGCCTAACTTGCTTTGTGAGACAGGTTTCTCAGTGGACTGGAGCTTGCCAGTGAGCCCTAGGGAATTGCACTCCTTCTTCCCCCCAGCACTGAGACTAAGCACGCATAACCATGCCTAGCAGTTCTTGTAAACTTTTTTTTCTTTCTATTATGAGACAGGGTTTCACTATGTACTTATGGCTGGCCTGGACCTCACTATGTAGACCAGGCTTGCCTCAAACTCAGAGATCCACCTGTCTCTGCCTCCTGAGTGCTATAGATTAAAGGCATTTGTACCACATGGGTGCCTGCTACCTGTGGAGGCCAGAAGAGGGGTTAGATCCACTGCAACTGGAACTGGGGTTGATGATGTGGGTGCTGGGAACCGAAGCCCGGTCCTCTGCAACAGCAGCAAGTGCTCGTACCCACTGAGCCATTTCTCCAGACCCCATGCCCAGCTCCTTTTCTGTGTGGGTTCTGGGGACTGAATTCAGGCCCTCATGCTTACATGCCAAACACTTTACCAAGTGAGTCATCTTCCCCGCTCTCAATAAAACATCTTATGTTTCTCTAAAAAACATTCTCTCTGTCCCAAATAAAGTCATTTAAGGAGGAAGTTTTTAAAAAATTACTTTGCCTTCATATTTCTGTAGATTATTGTAGAAAATGTCAAAGCCATTAAGATAAAAAGTATTAAGCAAAAAGTTTATTCAGAAGTCTTTCAAACATATAGGCAATAGAAAAATATTTTTCAACATTTGTAGGCTTAAGGAATGTAGTTTCCATAAACTCTTCTTGGAAATAATGAACAAAGACAAGCTCTATAGAATTCTAATATAGAGCCAGGCATGGTAGTGCACGCCTTTAGTCCCAGCACTTGGGAGGCAGAGGCAAGCAGATCTCTGTGAGTTCAAGGCCAGCCTGGTCTACATAGTGAGTTCCAGGACAGCTGGGGCTACAGATAGGAGACCCTATCTCAAAAAGACCAAAAAAAAAAAAAAAAAAATTTCTTATATAGAATTAAGGATGAACACCTAGAGAACATGGTTCAGAATAGTATGCAGATACTTTAACCTATACTGTGAGTGCTAGAAAATGTAGAAAATATACAATTATGAGAAATACAGGAGGCAATATAAGATGAATCTATATTGGTCAATACTGTTTAAAGTACTTAAATCTGTATTTAGCTAGGATGTAGCTCAGTTGGAAAGTGTTTCCCTAGCATGCTTTGTAAAGCCCTAGGTTTGATCCCTAGAACTGTAAAAAAACAAGCATACAACACAAACAAAATAACCCTCAAGCTATACCAAAAGGTTTTTTTTTTAAAGGATTTATTTAAGACAGCACAACATAAAAGATGAAAGTTTGTCGTTTCAGTAAATGAAAATGGGACAAACACAGCTACTAAGGAAGATATGCTCACACTGGATCAAATACTAGAAACGCGTCTAAACCAAGGTTAGTTAAGAGGGTTGAAAGAAAAGGAAAGAAAACCCCACAAAGGTAAATGCAAGCAATCAAAAAAAGTAGAACTTACAATATTAAACAACATTAATTTCAAGGGAAGATAATTGAAAGAAAAATAAAGGGCTCATTTAAAATAAAGACCTAATGAGTTTTTATGAGTCAAATAATACAGGAAAGAAATAATAAAAAATTATAGCAAACAAGCAAACAAACCCAAACAAAAATTAGAGGAAACACAAGATAAATAGACAATTCACCTCTCTCAGCCTAAGACATCAAGGGAACAAAAATATGTTGGACTCTATCTCCTCGAAACAGAACACAACCTCTTTTCAAATGCTCATGAAATATTTATGAGTATATATCAGACCACAAAAACATCAAGCATTCAAGAAAGAAGTATTAGACACAAATCTCTGACCATAATGTAAAAGAATATGAACAAAAAATCTCAGGCACATTGGATTAAAAACAACAAAAAAACGAACCGGGCATGGTGGCTCACACCTTTGGTCCCAGCACTTGGGAAGCAGAGGCAAGTGTGTTTCTGTAAGTTCGAGGCCAGCCTGG